ATGCCGTTGGCACGTCCTGCACGTATGGGTAGGGCTGCTGTTGCGAGTCAGGTGAGTCTTTTCATTGGGTCCTGGGGGCTGAGGCAGGAGCTTGCAGGAGAGTTTCTGCTCATCTTGTCAGGAGAGCTGGGCGGGGTGTGGCTTCTACTGAAACGCGCTCCCGGGAGCCCCTCATCTGGGGCTGGGTGACGTGGAACCGAGTCACCCAAAGAGTGAACCGAACAAGACCAGTGGGCAAGCCCAGATCGGAGCGCTTAGCCTCTTGGGTTTAAGGATCTCCAGCATCTACATGGGCCTGGCAGGCCTCCCTGTGCCCGCTCTGTCCTCTCACAGCTGTGCGTTCTGTTTCCTGCGCCATGAATTGTCCTTATTTGAAACGGCACACGCGGCTTTCACTACTTCTCATTCAGGGACATCGTGACTGTCCCTTTCACGGTATTTCCCTCTGGAGCTCTTCCCAGGAAACTGTCCTGCTGTCTTGGTTGTATGTCCCGCACGGACAGCAACAAGGGCACAGAGTCACAGCCACTGGCCCACTTTCCACACCCATCACCCCTTCTGCTCACTCAGCACAGTTCATACATATATATATACACACATATATATGCATAGTTCATATATATACACACACACATATATACAAATATGTTTTAATTGACTTCAGAGTGGAAGGAAGAGAGAGACCTAGAAACATCCATGATGAGAGAGAATCATTGACCAGCTGCCTCCTGCACCCCCCACACTGGGGATCAAGCCTGCAACCCAGGCCTGTGCCCTGATGGGGAATTGAACTGTGACCTCCTAGTTCATAGGTTAAGGCTCACCCACTGAGCCCTGCTGGCCAGGGAGCAGTGTTAGTTTTGATTTAGAATCTTAATCTGTTAATTCCTAGTTTAGCTGGATCTGAAAACAGCAGACGAGTAAACCATGTTCCAATTCACTGTCGCTGACGTGGTGGGATGGATTGTAAAGACTTGGGCTTGTTGACGAAACATGAGAACACATGTGCTCAGAGACGAGGGAGACCTGCCCTTGCGTCAATGTGGTCACAGTAGCTTAGCTTTGCGATGACCTGGTCAGAGAGGTAAGAGCCCCCCCCCCCCCAGACTGGATAGTGACAGGGGTGGGCAGAGGGGCTTCCGGCCGCGAGCACGAGAGACGCAGCTTCCTCCCACACCATCACTGACTTCTCAGGGCGTCACTCATCCTCATCATCACTAACCTACTGGGCCCACCCCAGATTCTACTCAGCTGGACAGAACCCAACAGCACTCCTCTATTTTTTAATAGTTAATAGCATTTCTCCAAAATGTGAGGAAAGGCGCCACAGAAGAAGAAGAACCATGATAACGACCTGGGTACGTGTTTGACGCGCCTCCTGTGAGGTGGGGTGACCGTAGCATGAGAAGGTGGAGGGACTGCGCTTCGGAGCGCTGCTGGATACAGGGACATGCTCATCACATCTGCTTCCCCCGAGAGAGCTGTCTGCTGTCCTGGGGAGAGCACGTCTCAGCGGGCCGCGCCCGGCCTCGGACGCCTGCCTGGTGGGGACCGAGGGGCGTCCTGGCACCGCCTGGCGAGGGAATGGCCTCACTTGCCGTCGCCCGTCTGCAGCCGGACTCAGGAGACTAAACACTCAGAGGGCCACCCTCCTGCTTTAGACCGCGGTCCCTTCAGAGGCAACGCGTTCTGAAGAACGGAGACAGCCCCGAGGAAATAACAAAGGGGGGAGGTAGGAAAATATGTCTGAGCCGGAACAAACACTTACAGAAGGAGGAGGCATGGAAGTCGGATGTCACATGACAATGTTCTATTCACAGACCGGACACCATTTCAAAGCGAAAAAATACCAAACCGAGCACCCGGGCAACTATTTTCATGTCGTGAATCTGACCAAACACCAGCACCCAAACGCGCAGAGAGCTGCTGCCAGTCAACAACAACAACAACAACAACAATAACAACAACAACAACAATAACAATACTGATTAACAAGCCGGGTGAGCACGGACAGCACAGTGGGTGGAACAGGCACTTCAAAAAGGAGAACATCATAGGCTGAGCGTCAACCTAGGAACCAGGAGGTCACAGTTCGATTCCCGGTCAGGGCCCAGGCCCAGGTTGCGGGCTCCATCCTCAGTGAGGGGCGTGCAGGAGGCAGCCGATCCATGATTCTCTCCCATCATTGATGTCTCTCTCCCTCCCTCTCCCTTCCTCTCTGAAATCAATAAATATCATTTAAGGGGGCTGTAAACATTGGGAAAGGTGCCCAATGCCACTGCCCAACCAGATCAACCCCATAGTCAGACGTCAGGAGTGCCCGCAAGGGGACCGGGTCTGAGCGTGGCCGTGGGGGAGCACGGGGAGCCGCCACAGCCTCGGGGCTGCAGTGAGCAGGGGGCTGGACACTGCGTGGCGGGACCTGCAGAGGCTACAGCTGCCACTCACGCCCTGGGAATCATGTACGACCACGAGAGTGGATATCCAGGTAAACAGAAAGGTCAGTATCGATAGGTACACATCAGCTTTATTCCGACATGTTAGCCAGAAAACAAAAGAAAAAAAGGGAAGAAGAAATAAAGAAAGAAGAGAAACTGCCCCAAATCAAGTTTGAGAGGAGCAGCCTCCTTCGCGGCGATGGAAACAACGACACGGGTGCTCCGTGCCGCACGGGGGGCGCCTCCCCAGGCCGCGGCGTGCAGCGGGGAGAGTGTGCTGGGTGCACAGGATCCGTGCGTGTGGCGGTCAGAACAGGGACCCTCGAGGAGCCACACTGGTTGGCGGCGTCAGGAGAAAAATGTGGGCGATCGGAGGGGGACGGCTCAAGGGCTCTGGGGACTCTTGCGCTTGAGATTTAGGCGTTTTACAATATGCGCTGAACAACAACAAATACATGAAACCATGGGGCATGGACTCTATTTTCCTAAAGCAGTAAGGCTCCTGGAGCGAGCTCCGCCTTGACACTCTCAGAGCATCCCGTCGTCGTGGCTACGAGACCCTCCTGCAGGTCGGACCTAGGGGTGTGCTCATCCACTCGGCAGTGACTGACTGAGCGAGGGCTGCGAGCGGTCACCGGGGGGCAGTCAGCAAGTCCACCGGGGGCCCGCCTCCCATCATCTCTTAGAAACGCAGCAGAAGGTGGACAGTGTGTGTGAGGTCATCAAAGGTGAACCCGAGCTGAGCCGCTAGTTCAAGTTGGGAGACTGTCTTCAGGGTTCACGGGGCGGGGGGGGGGGGGGGGGGGGGGGGAGGAGGGGGCATCCGGGGTGGGGCTAGCCTGGTGGAAGCCGAAGGGATTTTTGTCTCAGAAAGTACTTTTCCCCACCTTGCCTTTTTACATTATACACACCTGGTTGTTACATTATTATTATTATTATTATTATTATTATTATTATTATTATTTAATTCTCCCCCGAGGATATTTTCCCATTGATTGTAGAGAGAGTGGAAGAGAAGGAAAGACAGAGAGGAACATCGATGTGAGAGAGACACATCGATGGGTTGCCTCCTGCACGTGCCCCAACCAGGGCCTGGGCTGGGGAGGAGCCTGCAACTGAGGTACGTGCCCTTGACCAGCATCAAACCCGGGACCCTTTGGTCCGCAGGCAGACGCTCTATCCAAATCGGCTAGGGCGACACATACATGTTTTTATTATGCTGAAAATATTTTCAGTGTTAACAGCCTCTTACTAAATTTTCCAGGTTCTTTGGAGATGGCATAGAATTCATTATCAAAGATCTTAATGAATATTTAATGTTTTATTAGAGACTAGTTAGCTATTTTTTTAAAGGATAAAAATGAACACACAACTGGTAAAGAGAATACAAAACTGAAAAATATTGTGGTAAAAGGGAAGGCATATATGAGAGTATTTAAGTAAGGATTGCACAGGAATGCATGGGGCCCAAGAGAAATGGTCTATATGTCACGGTTTAACCTGGTCCCAGACCCTGTGGCACTGGGAGGAGCTGAGTGACAGGTGGGAGTGAACTGGAGAAGAGATTAAATAAGGGGGCAGGTGTATGGGTTCGAGGGGAGGGAGGGACGGGTCTGGACGACAGGCAGGCGCTGGGAACGTGGTCCTGGCAGCGCTGGGAACGTGGTTCTGGTAGTGCTGGGAACGTGGTTCTGGTAGTGCTGGGAACGTGGTTCTGGTAGTGCTGGGAACGTGGTTCTGGTAGTGCTGGGAACGTGGTCCTGGTAGCGCTGGGAACGTGGTTCTGGTAGCGCTGGGAGCAGGAGACATGACGGAGAATCAGGATGGGACAGGGGGCTTTGAACAGATGGTTGGCTACTGTGACTCGCCTCCTGGGTATGAACAATATTTCCCCGTGTTACTGATCCAAATGCTTTTTATTTTCCAAACTGGTATGCAAAGCAGAAAAGAGAATATGGTTTCTGAGAGCCAAGGTCATGGAACGTCAGGGAGGACGGCTCCGTTTGGACCCTTCTGTCTGAAGGTCCATGCGGTGCCCACAGCGCAGGGGCGGGATCCAGGCGTTCAGAGTGTCCTTAGCTCGGACCAGCGACCTCACCCGGAAGCACGGATGCCTTGGAAAGCTCAGGGTTATTCTAGGCCTGATCGGACCAAGTTCTTCTAATCGTCAGCGAAGCATATTAATCCAGGGCGAGCGTGCGATGAAGCAACACTGACTTCTGAACACGCCGCCATCCGCCTGTTACGCAACGTGCTCGCTCTGAAGGATTGCGCTCGGTCTGGTATGTCCCGGCTTTGAAGATGCAGCAATTTCTTCTCATAAAAGAGATGCAAGGTGTGTAAGGGACACCCTGACTTGGCAACAAGGCAGGTGAGACACTTTGATGAGCATGCGGCCCCTTCAGAGGTTGGCGTTGCGTCAACGAGGGGTGACACGGATGACACAAAACAGGTGGCACCTGACTCAGCACCTGCTGGCCCAGGTATATAAGCTCCCTCCCCCCTCGCTGACACTCACTCTCAGGACCTCATCTTGAACAGAAACACACCCCCCCTGACACCATGAGCTACTATGGCAGCTACTACGGAGGCCGCGGCTACGGCTGGGGCGGCTTCGGCGGCCTGGGCTGTGGCTATGGCTCCGGCTGGGGCTGGGGCGGCTTCGGCGGCCTGGGCTGTGGCTATGGCTACAGAAGCTATGGCTGTGGCTGCTGGCGCCCGTCCTGCTGGGGGGGATATGGATACTCTGGCTTCTACTGAAATCCTGCCCAGCAGCTCAGCCTCTGAACTTACCAGGGACTTCCTTCCATGTTTGATCTAAGGAACTGGACAGCAAACCTCATGCTGGGTTATGTGCACAAAAGCCTTTAGCTCCTCAGAATTATGGGTAGATTTTCAACTGTGCCTGCGTCTTCCTCATATTCCCAGGATCCTCTACTTTTGCTTTCATAACTGATTGGACTGTCTGTTCACCTTCCAATAAACCATTGAATTTGAAAATAAAGTATGGTTGTTGGTTTGTTCATGAAACACAATTATGAGGAAGTGGTTCTGGGCACATCCACTCCGCTGTCCAAGGGAGAAGCCATCTTCTTGGCTAATAATCTTCCTTTTTGTTCACTCACCTCACAAGCATGCAGAGAGGCAGGAAATAGATATAAAGATTAATAAGTCAACACTGAAATGAAAAATTTTTTTTTGAAAATCCAGTGATTTAAATATTTCAGTCTCTTGATTTAATTCATAAAACATTCAGACTTAAGTCAACAACAAATAGCAATGAATATTGAACATATCTACCCATTTATTTATCAACATATGGATTTTACTTAACTAACATTTCCCAATTCAATCTTTCAGTTTATTCAAAATTGCTTTATGTTTTTAATTTTTCTTTTAATTTCAGAGAGCAAGGAGGAGGGAGAGGAAGATGGAAACATCATGGATGAGAGAGAATCATTCACTGATTGGTTGCCTCCTGCATGCCCCCCTCTGGTGACTGAGCCTGCAACCTGGGCACGTGCCCTTGGCTGGATAAAAACTCAGGACCCTTCAGTCCACAGGCTTACGCTCTATCCACTGAGCCAAACAGGCAAAGGGAAACTCAAAACATTTTTAACTAAACGTGTCTGTTCCCTTTCCTCTGCTCTCACGCTATCTCACTTCATCCTTCTTCTTTTTTTTTTTTTAAAAAAAACATATTTTATTGATTTTTTACAGAGAGGAAGGGAGAGGGATAGAGAGTTAGAAACATCGATGAGAGAGAAACACCGATCAGCTGCCTCCTGCACACCCCCCACTGGGGATGTGCCCGCAACCCAGGTACATGCCCTTGACCGGAATCGAACCTGGGACCCTTCAGTCCGCAGGCCGATGCTCTATCCACTGAGCCACACCGGTTAGGCACTTCATCCGTCTTCACCACCATCACCACATTGAGGATGTATCCTCAATCCAGTCAGGGAAAGAAACAACAAGACATAATCGTGAACCAATTATTGTTGAGCTGAAGCTGAAACCAAAAAGCTTTCTTATAAATCTAAATTTTAGTAAAATCTGAATTTCTCCTGATAAAAATGGGGCAACAGGGGCATATATTTTTCATGAAATTAAAAACAACAACGGTTGGACTAAAACCGTGGTCGCCGAACTTCCCGACCTCACCGACCAAAGTGGACCATGAGCCACCAGTTGGCGACCACTGGACTGAAATACCAAAGTTTTCCTAGAATCCAAATATATCGTCAGAGAATATTATAAGATGAAGATATTTTTTAAAATTGGTATAACTTGGTCCAATATGTGTGCTTGAGTCTATGCTGTTAGATACTCCCTACAGCTGTGCAGGCAGAATTTAGTCTTCCAGTCACTCAGCAAATACGTTTTGTTTGGAAAGGAATGAATGCACTCAGATGGGAGGGAAATGTGTTATCAAAAATGTTACATACGCTCGGCTTGCCTGCCTCAGTGGTTGAGCATAGACCTATGAACCAGGAGGTCACGGTTGAGTTTGAGTCCGGGTCAGGGCACACGCCTGGTTGCAGGCTCCATCCCCAATGTGGAGTGTGCAGGAGGCAGCCAATCAATGAATTTTCTCTCATTATAAATGTTTCCATCTCTCTCCCAATCTCCCTTCCTCTATGAAATCAATAAAAGCAAATAAATAAAAAAAGAACATAAGGAAAACCTCAGGGTAAAATTACAAACCTGAGTGGCGGGATGACGTACTGACGGGAAAACTGGATCGGAGGGGAAACCCTGGCTCCTGTGAGCGTGTGTGGGACTGAGCGGGGAATGGCGACTTAAAGAGCGGCTGGAAGAGACAGAGGATGTGTGGGAACCAGGAAGAACAGAGAGAGAAAATAAAGAGCAACTGCAAAGCAGAAGACACCGTCACCTGTTTCCGGATGATCCGTTTCTATGTGAAAAAGAGGGTGATGTTTAAAGGGAACCTTGTGACCAGGTGCTCAGCCTGGGGGTTCACGTGTGAGATTGTTCTGTGGGCAGATCCTCAGCTTCTGAAATGCATTTCACTGTGTGGGGAAGCCTAAAGGGTATTTCACAAGAGGATACATCACACTAAAGAGTTTACATGCGTGTGTGTGTGTGTGTGTGCGAGTGTGCGTGCGTGTGTGTGTGTGTGTGTGTGTGTGTGTGTGTGTGTGTGTGTTTTCTACTTGAGAAGTAAATTCGACACAGACCTGGACACAGTAAAGAATGTGAACTTGGTTGGTGGATGTGACCCCAAATGGAGTCTGACACAGTCATCCAAAGAACGGCATGCAAGTGGGCAATGACACACCCTCAGCGAGAGACACCGCCCGGTGGTGATGACGCAACACGCTTCCCAATGAAAAATCCTATTCAGGGAATTTCTATTCTGTGACGTGGGAGGCAGATATGCTTCTCCTTAGAAACAAACACTGTCATGGGTTCCAGGGGCTCTAACCAGGCAGCTGTGCCGGCTCCAAATCTTAATAAATATGAGCATCTCTGGCGTCAGCAACCAGATTAACGAGCTGCCTCAGGGCCGTGAATCTTTGGGATGAAACCCAGGAATGGTCACGTGACTCAGCACCTGCTGGCCCAGGTATATAAGCTCCCTCCCCACTCGCTGACACTCACTCTCAGGACCTCATCTTGAACAGAAACACACTCCCCCTGACACCATGAGCTACTACGGCAGCTACTACGGAGGCCGCGGCTACGGCTGGGGCGGCTTCGGCGGCCTGGGCTGTGGCTATGGCTCCGGCTGGGGCTGGGGCGGCCTTGGGGGCCTGGGCTGTGGCTATGGCTACAGAAGCTATGGCTGTGGCTGCTGGCGCCCGTCCTGCTGGGGGGGATACGGATACTCTGGCTTCTACTGAAATCCTGCCCAGCAGCTCAGCCTCTGAACTTACAAGGGACTTCCTCCCACATTTTATCTAAGTAACCGGACAGCAAACCTCATGCTGCGTTATTCCCTCTAAAGTCTTTAGTTCCTCAAAATTATGGGTAGATTTTCAACTGTGCCTGCATCTCCCTCATAAGCCTAGAATCCTCTACTTTTGCTTTCATAACTGATTGGACTACCTCTTCACCTTCCAATAAAGTATTAAATTCCAAAATAAAGTATGGTTGTTGGTTTGTTCATGAAACACAATTATGAGGAGGTGATTATGGGCACATCTACTCCACTGTGCAAGGGAGAACCTATCTTATCCTATTGGCTAACAATCTTTCTTTTCTTTCACACACTCTCAAGCATGCATAGAGTTAGAAAAATAGATATAAAGATTAATAATTCTACACTGAAATGAAAAAATGTTTTAAAAGGGCTAGTGATTCAAATCTTTCAATCTCTTGATTTTATTTATAAAATACTCAGACTTAAGTCTACAACAAACAGCAATGAATATTTGAAAGCTCTATATTTATTTATCAACATATGGATTTTATTGAACTCAACTAACATTCCTCAATTTAATCCTTTGATTCATTCAAAATTTGTTTATTTGGTTTTATTATTATTGTAAGCACAAGCAATGGTAGTAGATCACAGTGTAATGCTAGGGGGACTTATAATCTGATAGACTGAGCACCTGAATTAATCTGAGACATAATCATATTCTTTTAGATCTTAGAACACATACACATATGTGTGTAGGGGGGTGAGTTTCTCATATGTGAACAGGGGGTTAAGTTTTTCTTAAGTTTCCTTTCAAGACCTATGTGAAGGGATTGAGGAAGTGGCTCAGCTGTGAATCCAGCAAGCAGAACCCATAGGCAGGGTCAGGCCCACCCAACAGGAATCAAACCATCATCTCATCCACATCATCTCCTCACCATCATCTCCTCACCTTCATCTCATCACCATCATCTCCTCACCATCATCTCATCACCATCCTCTCATCAACTGAATGCTAAGGACAATAGCTGACAACTGAGGGCTCCCAGGGCTGCATGTAGCTGCATTCAGTCCCCAGCCCCTTCTCCTTCATAGTCCTGTGCCCTGCACCTGCTCAAAGACAGGATTTGATGCCTGTAAGCTCCCGTCTTCTTGGTGGGCTGGCCTTCTCAGTAAACGCCTGATAGGATGCCACCTGCCTTCGTGATAGGACACAGCGACAGGCAGCCTGAGCCCACTCAGACATTTCCTGGTAACAATATCATTGGCTTACAATGAAAGTAAATCGACTTAAAAGACTCTTATTCTGTACAATCTCACCCGGTGTGTCGGGCTCTGAGCACATGATCTCATTTGACACTGTCATCAAGCAGCTGATCCAGAAGCCAACCATGGATTGGGGTAAATTTATTTCATATGAGGTCATTGAATTCAAACATTTCAACTGAACATTTCTGTTCGCTTTCCTCTGCTCTCACTGTGTCTCACTGGCATCCTTCCTCACCACCATCACCACATTGAGGAATTAGCTTCAATCCAATCAAGGAAAGAAACAAAAGACATACTAGTAATTGTGAATGAATTATTATTTAGCTGAAGCTGAAACCAAAGAGCTTTCTTAAAAACCTAAATATAAGCAAAATCTGAAATTTTCCTCATAGAAATGGGCAACGCGAGGCATATATTTTTGATGGAATAAAAAACAGATGTAGTAAAATACCAGTGTTTTCCTAGAATTAAATAATATAATCAGATGACAATAAAAAATGAACATATTTAGTTTAAATTGGTCAAATTTGGTCAACTATGTGTGATTGAGTCTATACACTATCTTAGGTACTGCCTACAGCTGTGGCAGGCAGAATGTATTCTCAGCAATATGTTTTGTTGGAAAGAACAGTGAATACAGTCAGATGGGAAATGTATTATCAAACTTGTTACTTATTGTAGGACCCTGTCTAGAGCACACCGATGTTCAAGGCCACTCTGAACATGGGAATCCTAATCAAAGTGTTCAAGGTTGAGTTGCTATACGCAGGTGCAAGGCAAGGACACAGCAAGCCATACACTGCAACCACGTGCCTTTCTGTATCCAAAATACTGATGTTACTATTTGGCAAAAAGCCCCTTTTGTTTGAGTGTGTTTGGGCATGTATGTAAGGTGCCACTGACCACCTGCTGTGGCTGCTGTTGTGTGTAATTAAGCAGGTCCCATTTGCCTGCTGGTACCCTATGTCCTTCTGATTCCCCTCACCCAGAGGGTTAAGTCCCTAGCCTTGGAGCTTGCCTCTGACACGTATAAACCTCAAAACAGAACAAAACCCCAGCACCACCTACAAAACAAAGCCCTGGGCACATGTTAAAGTCTGTGAAACACACACAATGGAAAAGACCAAGCCCCAGGCGCGGGCAAACTCCAGTAGGGCTTCACCTTGAACCCTGGGCTCACACTCGGGGTTCCTTACGAGCCGAGGAAATTCGCTGAAGGCTGGCGGCTAACCTCTATGATATTTCTGTTTTGTGTCAGTCACATTCTCCCTGCCATGTTTATTTTTTGCAGCATTTCCAGGCATCAAGATTTCAGGAGACTCTGAGTAAAATATTATATAATCTTAGGAGTAAAGAAGTCTTTTTAATTTAAAACCCTGACGAATTAGAATATCTTATTGAAAAGGTTGGAGGTTGAGTGAAAAGGGAAAGGGTCATGGAGTCGGTAAAGCTGTGACAAGTTTGCACAGTGACAGGTGATTCAGGTCATTACTGGGGGAGGCCATGGTGAGGTATAAACATGCTGAGTCATTCTATTGTGCACCTGAAACTAATACAACCAATGTAAGTTTGCATGCCAACTGGTCTAAAATCCTATCTAATAAAGAGAGAATATGCTAATTGACCCTCATGCCATCATAAAGATGGTGGCGCCCATAGCCAATAAGGAGGGCATATGCTAATTCAATTCCCCGCCCTCAAAGATGGCAGTGCGCACAGCCAATAAGGAGGGAATATTCGAATTGACTCCCCTGCTCTCAAAGATGGCAGTGCCCACAGCCACAAGATGGCAGCACCCAGTCCCCTCAGCCCCCCAGCTGTCCAGGGCTGCCCGAGGCTTGTGCTGCCGGCAGTGGCAGCAGCAGAGGTGTGATGGGGCGTCAGCTTCCCCTGATTGCCAGGTTGCCTCCTGGCCAAGGGCTTCCGGACTGTGAGAGGGGGCAGGCCGGGCTGAGGGACCCCTCCTCCAGTGCATGAATTTTCATGCACCAGGCCTCTAGTAAAATATAAAATAAAAGTGTTTGCTGATTGCCTAAGAGAAAATAAGGGGCAGGACACAGAATTGTTAAAGAATATAAGGACACACCCAGCCGGTATGTCTCAGTGGTTGAGCATTGTCTTTGAAACATGAGTTCATGGTTCAGTAAAATTCCTGCTCAGGGCACACACATGTCCGGGTTGCAGGCTTGATTCCCAGTGTGGGGTGTGCAGGAGGCAGCTGATCAATGATTTTTCTCTCATTATTGATGATTCTCTCTCTCTATCTCCCTTCCTCTCTGCAATCAATAAAAGCCAATTTTAAAAAAAGAATATGAGGACAAAAATACCATGCTAAAATTAAAAACCTGCTAAAATTAAAATCCTGCTAAAATTAAAAACCTGAGTAGAGGGATGAAGTACTGATGGGAAAACTGGATCAGAGGGGAAGACCTGATACGTGCGAGTGTGTGTGGAACTGAGTGCAGAAAGAAAACTTAAGGAGCGGCTGGAAGAGACAGAGGATGTGTGGGACCAGGAAGAACAGAGAGAGAAAATAAAGAGCAACTGCAAAGCAGAAGACACCGTCACCTCTGTTTCCGGATGATCCGTTTCTATGTGAAAAAGAGGGTGATGTTTACAGAGAACTTTGTGACCAGGTGCTCAGCCTGGGGGTACATGTGTGAGTTTGTTCTGTGGTCAGATCCTCAGCTTCTGAAATGCATTTCACTATGTCGGTAAAGCAAAAGGATATTTTGCAAGAAGATATATAAGATTAACATGGTTTTCTCACGTGCGTGTTCAACATGAGAGAAGTACATTTGACAATTAAGGAATTTCATAGCTGTAAGGATCTTACATTGGATTTCTATATTTGAATTAAAATGAAAGATAGCCCTAAAGACTCCATCAAAAAATTATTAGACTTAGTAAATGAATTCGGCAATGTAGCAGGATACAAAATTAATGCTAAGAAATCCATGGCATTTCTTTACACCAATAGTGAACTTACAGAAAGTGAAACTACAGAAGCAATCCGATTTACCATTGCACCAAAAAATTTAAAATACCTAGGAATAAACTTAACTAAGGAGGTAAAAGACTTATATGCTGAAAACTACAGGACACTGAAAAAAGAGATAGAGGAAGACATAAACAGATGGAAGAATATACCGTGTTCATGGATTGGTAGAATCAACATCATCAAAATGTCCATACTACCCAAAGCAATTTATAGATTCAATGCAATCCCCATTAAATTACCAACAGCATATTTCACAGATCTAGAATGAACATTCCAAAAATTCATCTGGAATAAAAAAAGACCCCGAATAGCTGCAGCAATCCTGAGAAAGAACAAAGTAGGTGGGATCTCAATACCAGATGTCAAGATGTATTACAAAGCCACTGTTCTCAAAACTGCCTGTTACTGGCACAAGAACAGACATATAGATCAATGGAATAGAATAGAGACCCCAGAAATCAACCCAAACCACTATGCCCAATTAATATTCGACAAAGGAGGCAAGAGCATACAATGGAGTCAAGACAGTCTTTTCAATAAATGGTGTTGGGAAAATTGGACAGATACATGCAAAAGGATGAAACTAGATCACCAACTCACACCATACACAAAAATAAACTCAAAATGGATAAAAGACTTAAACGTAAGACGGGAAACCATAAAAATACTAGAGGAATCCACAGGCAGCGAAATCGCAAACATATGCCGAAGAAATTTCTTCTCTGATAATGCTCCTAGGGCAATGGAAACTAAAGAGAAAATAAACAAATGGGACTACATCAAAATAAAAAGCTTTTGCACAGCAAAGGAAACCATCAACAAAACAACAAGAAGACCCACTACATGGGAGAACATATTTGCCAATGATACCACCGATAAGGGTTTAATTTCCAACATTTACAGGGATCTCATGAAACTTAACAAAAGGAAGATAAACAATCCAATAAAAAAATGGGCAACGGACCTAGATCGACACTTTTTGAAAGAGGACATACAGAAGGCCGAAAGACATATGAAAACCTGCTCAAAGTCACTAATTATACGAGAGATGCAAATCAAAACGACAATGCGTTATCATCTCACACCTGTCAGAATGGCTATCATCAACAAATCAACAAACAACAAGTGTTGGAGAGGATGTGGAGAAAAAGGAACCCTTCTGCACTGCTGGTGGGAATGCAGACTGGTGCAGCCACTGTGGAGAACAGTATGGAGCTACCTCAGAAGACTAAAAATGGAACTCCCATTTGACCCAGTGATCCCACTACTAGGAATATATCCCAAGAAACCAGAAACGCCAATCAGAAAGGATATATGCACCCCTATGTTCATAGCAGCACAATTCACCATAGCTAAGATTTGGAAACAGCCTAAGTGCCCATCAGCAGATGAGTGGATTAGAAAACTGTGGTACATATACACAATGGAATACTATGCTGCGGTAAAAAAAAAGGAACTCTTGCCTTTTGCAACAGCATGGATGGAACTGGAGAGCATTATGCTAAGTGAAATAAGCCAGTCAGAGAAATATAAATACCACATGATCTCACTCATTTGTGGATTATAGAGAACAACATAGACTGATGAAAAGGGACAGACCCAAAGACTGAGAAACAGCAATCAGGCTATCAATCCCCAGAAGGAAAGTAGGGGAGGGCGGGGGTAAGGGGAAGAGATCAACCGAAGGACTTGTATACATATATATAAGCCAAACCAATGGACATGAACAACAGGGGGATGGGAGCATGAGTTTGTGTGTGGGGGGGAGGTTGGGGGTTATTGGGGGGGGATGAGGACACATATGTAATACCTTAACTAATAATAATAAAAAAATAAATAAAATGAAAGATAGGATAATCCAAAGAATGATATAAAAATTATGATGACACAATCCGATATAATAAAGAGGCAATATGCAAATTGACTGTCACGTCCTCACACAAAGATGGCCGCCCCATGTCATCACAAGATGGCTGGCAGGGGAAGGCAGTTGGGGGAAACCAGGCCTGCAGGGAGGGCAGTTAGGGGTGACCAGGGCAGTAGGGGAGTGCATTTAGGGGTGACCAGCCCTGCAGGCAAGGGAGGGCAGTTGGGGGCGACCAGGCTGGCAGGGGAGGGCATTTGGGGGAGATCGGCAGGCAGGGGAACATTAAGGCATTGATCAGGCTGGCAGGCAGTGGTTAGGGGCAACCAGGTAGGCAGGCAAGTGAGCAGTTGGGAACCAGCAATCCCAGATTGCGAGAGGGATGTCCAATTGCCGGTTTAGGCCAGGGATCGGGCCATAACTGGCAGTTGGATATCCCCCCAGGGGTCCCAGATTGGAGAGAGTGCAGGCTGGGCTGAGGGACACCACCCCAAGTGCACAAATTTCATGCACTGGGCCTCTAGTATTTAATGAGAATACTCCAACCAATATGACAAATGCCACGTGCTTAGGAATGGAGAATTGTGTTTAGTGAGTTTTTATCTTTTTTTTTTTAATATATTTTTTATTGATTAAGATATTACATATGTGTCCTTGTCCCCACGTTACCCTCTACCCCCCCCCCCCCCGCTCATGCCCTCACCCCCCCGTTGTCCATGTCCATTGATTAGGCCTATATGCTTGCATATAAGTCCTTTGGTTGATCTTTCCCCCTTACCCCCACCCTCCCCTACCTTCCCTCCAAGTCCCGACAGTCATCAGCTTATGTTGTTCATTATATTCCACAAATGAGTGAGATCATGTGGTATTTATCCGCTCTCCAGTTCCATCCATGCTGTGGCAAATGGTCAGAGTTCCTTTTTCTTCTTCCTCTTCTTAAAGAATACCTTTCAGCATTTCATATAATGCTGGTTTGGTGGTGATGAACTCCTTTAGCTTTTTCTTATCCGTGAAGCTCTTTATCTGACCTTCTATTCTGAATGATAGCTTTGCTGGATAAAGTAATCTTGGTTGCAGGTTCTTGCTATTCATCACTTTGAATATTTCTTGCCACTCTCTTCTGGCCTGCATGGTTTCTGTTGAGAAATCAGCTGACAGTCGTATGGGTACGCCCTTGTAGGTAACTGACTGTCTTTCTCTTGCTGCTTTTAAGATTCTCTCTTTATCTTTTGCTCTTGGCATTTTAATTATGATGTGTCTTGGTGTGGTCCTCTTTGGATTCCTTTTGTTTGGGGTTCTCTGCGCTTCCTGGACTTGTAAGTTCATTTCTTTCACCAGGTATGGGAAGTTTTCTGTCATTATTTCTTCAAAAAGGTTTTCAATATCTTGCCCTCTCTCTCCTTCTGGTACCCCTATAATTCTGATGTTGGTACGCTTGAAGTTGTCCCAGAGGCTCCTTACACTATCTTCATATTTTTGGAATCTCTTTTCTTTTTTCTTTTTCGGTTGGGTATTTTTTGTTTCTTTGAATTTCAAATCTTTGACTTGATTCTTGGGATCCTCTTGTCTGCTGCTGGATCTCTGTAAATTATTCTTTATTTCAGTCAGTGTATGCTTAATTTCTAGTTGGTCCTTTTTCATGTCCTCCATGGTCTCACTATACTTATTGAGGGATTCATTAAATTTATCGGCGGTTTCCATAAAATTCTTGAAAAACCTTATAAACGTGGCCTTGAACTCTATATCCAATCATTTGCTTTCCTCCATTTCTGCCATTTGTGACCTGTTTCTTTGTCTCCGCATTTTGGCAGCTTCCCTGTGTTGATAGAGTGGCCCTGCGCGCCAGGTGTCCTGTAGGGCCCAGTAGCTCAGCCTCCCCAGTTACCTGGGGTGGACACTCTTGGTGCACTCTTGGTGCCTTGGTTGTTGTAGAATCACTGGGAGGAATTGACCTCCAGGCCAATTGGCTGTGAGAATCAGCTGTGTCTAAAGTGGGAGAACTTCTGTGCTGAAGACACCCTTCTGGGGCAAGACTTGCTTCAGTGGGGCTTTGGTGCTCACTGAGTCTGCTCCCTGAGTGTGTCCCTTATGGATCTGAGGAGTTGCAATCTGGATGGTCCAGTGGCTCCTGGATCTAAGGAGGTGCTAATTCAGCCTCTGCCTGAGGCCACACAGCAGGAGCCACGAAGAGGCTCAGCTGTGAAGCAATGCAAGCCGCTGCGGGGCCTTGGGCCTTCTCTTGGAAGTTCCGGGTCTGCCTGGCTGGGCTGCAGTTAGGTACATTCACATGCAAAAGCCTCTGCCTCAGCCTGGGTGGGGCGGGGTCTCAGGGAATCAAAGGGCGGATCAGGGAGCTATGGCCGATTCTCCGCCCGGAGTCGCGGGTCTCAGTGTCCCGGTAACGGCTGCAAGCACCTCTGAGGGAAAGCCGCCTTCAAGTTCGCCTGCTGCCGGACAGACCAGCTTCTCCCCGTATGAGTCCTGGGTCCCCAGAGACTTCCCGGAACCGGAGTTCAGGGCAGTCGGGAGTTTGTGATTCAAAAAGACAGCCGCGTCCTCAGGTGCCACCCCCTTTCCTCGCGCGCGCGAGCCGCCGTACCTCTGCACTTCACCTCCGCAGCGCCTCTGGCTCTCAGCGTGCTTTTCTTTCCTTCTAGTTGTAGAATTTACACTCAGCCAGACTTCCTGTTGTTCTGGATGATGTTTGCTCAGTCCTTTGCGGTAATTTTCAATTGTTGTGGGAGGCGACAATTTCCCCGTGTTTACCTATGCCGCCATCTTAGTTTTTCTCCGAGTTTTTATCTTGTGACGTGGAAGACAGATATGCTTCTCATTAGAAACAAAGAATGTAATGGGTTCCAGAGTGTTCTATCCAGGCAGCTGTGCCGGCTACAAATTTTAATAAATATAAGCATCTCTGGCGTCAGCAAACAGATTAACAAGCTGCCTCAGGGCCGTGAATCTTTGGAATGAAACCCAGGAATGGTCACCTGACTCAGCACCTGCTGGCTCAGGTATATAAGCTCCCTCCCCACTCGCTGACACTCACTCTCAGGACCTCGTCTTGAACAGAAACACACTCCCCCTGACACCATGAGCTACTATGGCAGCTACTACGGAGGCCGCAGCTACGGCTGGGGTGGCTTCGGCGGCCTGGGCTGTGGCTATGGCTACAGAAGCTATGGCTGTGGCTGCTGGCGCCCGTCCTGCTGGGGGGGATACGGATACTCTGGCTTCTACTGAAATCCTGCCCAGCAGCTCAGCCTCTGAACTTACAAGGGACTTCCTCCCACGTTTGACCTAAGTAACTGGACAGCAAACCTCATGCTGGGTTATGTGCACAAAAGCCTTTAGCTCCTCAGGATTATGGGTAGATTTTCAACTGTGCCTGCATCTCCCTCATAGCCCAGGATCCTCTACGTTTGCTGTCAGAACTGATTGGACTGTCTGTTCACCTTCCAATAAAGCAATGAATTTGAAAATAAAGTATGGTTGTTGGTTTGTTCATGAAATGCAATTATGAGGAAGTGGTTCTGGGCACATCCACTCCGCTGTCCAAGGGAGAAGCCATCTTCTTGGCTAATAATCTTCCTTTTCGTTCACTCACCTCACAAGCATGCAGAGAGGCAGGAAATAGATATAACGATTAATAACTCTACACTGAAATGGTCAGAACATTTTGAAAGAACCAGTGATTTAAATCTTTCATTCTCTTGATTTTATTCATAAAATATTCAGACTTAAGTCAGCAAAAAATAGCAATAAATATCAACCATATCTATTTATTTATCAACCTGTAGATTGTACTTAACTGACATATCCCAATTCAATCCTCCCATTTATTCAAAATTGATTTATGTTTTCAATTTTGCTTTTAACTTCAGAGAGCAAGGAGGAGGGAGACAGAAATATCAAGGATGAGAGAGAATCATTCATTGATTGGTTGCCTCCAGCATGCCCCCCCTCTGGTGATTGAGCCTGCAACCTGGGCATGCGCCTTTGGTCGGAATCAAACCCAGGACCCTTCAGTCCACAAGTTGATGGTTTATCCACTGAGCCCAACCGGCAAGGGCAACTCAAATCATTTTAACTCAATGTTTCTGTTCCCTTTCCTCTGCTCTCACTGTGTCTCGCTGGCATCCGTCTTCACCACCATCACCACACTGAGGAATTAGCTTCAATGCAATCAGGGAAAGAAACAACAAGACATAATGTGAACGGATTATTATTTAGCTGAACCTGAAACCAAAGATCTTTCTTAAAAATCAAAATTTCAGCAAGATCTGACTTTCTCCTGATAAAAATGGGGCAACACAGGGCATATATTTTTGATGAAATAAAAAAACGGAAGGACTAAAACAGCGTTCGAAAAACTTTCATACCTCACTGACCACAAGTGGTCCGTGAACCACCAGTTGGCGACCACTGGAATGAAATAACAATGATGTCCTAGAATCCAACAATATAGTCAGAGAATATTCTAAGATGAACATATTTGGTTTAAATTGGTATAATTTGGTCAAATATGTGCGCTTGAGTCTATACTGTTAGGTACTCCCTACAGCTTTGCAGACAGAATTTAACCTTTCAGTCACTCAGCAAATATGTTTCGTTTGAAAAACAGTGAATACATTCAGATGGGAGGGAAATGTATTACCAAAAATGATACTTATGCCTGGTCTGCGTGCCCAGTGGTTGAGCATCAACCTATGAAGCAAGAGGATCAACCTATGAAGCAAGAAGTCACGGTTCAGTTTGATTCCTGGTCAGGGCACATGCCTAGTTGCAGGCTCCATCCCCAGTGTGGGGTGTGCAGGAGGCAGCCGATCCATGATTTATCTCTCATTATAGATGTTTCTATCTCTGTCTCTGTCCCCCTTTTCCTCTGAAATCAATAAAAACAAAATTTTAAGAAGAAAAAAATACATATAAGGAAAAAAAATTGTGCTAAAATTACAAACCTGAGTGGCGGGATGACGTACTGACGGGAAAACTGGATCGGAGGGGAAGGCCTGGCTGGTGTGAGCGTGTGTGGGACTGAGCGGGGAATGACGACTTAAAGAGCGGCTGGAAGAGACAGAGGATGTGTGGGGACCAGGAAGAACAGAGAGAGAAAATAAAGAGCAACTGCAAAGCAGAAGACACCGTCACCTCTGTTTCCGGATGATCCGTTTCTATGTGAAAAAGAGGGTGATGTTTACAGAGAACTTTGTGACCAGGTGCTCAGCCTGGGGGTTCACGTGAGAGATTGTTCTGTGGGCAGATCCTCAGCTTCTGAAATGCATTTCACTGGGTGGAGAGGCCAAAAGGGTATTTTGCAAGAAGATATATAAGGTTAACATGGTTTTCTCATGTGCGTGTTCAACTTGAGAGAAATATGTTTGACAATTAAGGAATTTCATAGGTGTAAAAATCTGAAATTCGATCCGTGCATTTGAACTGAGATGAAAGTAAGATAGGGAAATACAAAGAATGATATGCAAATTAAGATGACACAATATTTAATGAGAACACGCCAACAAACATGACGAATGCCACGCGCTTAGGAATGGAGAGTTGTGTTTAGTGAGGTTTTATTCTGTGACGTGGAAGACAGACATGCTTCTCCTTAGAAACAAAGACTGTCATGGGTTCCAGGGGCTCTAACCAGGCAGCTGTGCCGGCTCCAAATCTTAATAAATATGAGCATCTCTGGCGTCAGCAACCAGATTAACGAGCTGCCTCAGGGCCGTGAATCTTTGGAATGAAACCCAGGAATGGTCACGTGACTCAGCACCTGCTGGCCCCGGTATATAAGCTCCCTCCCCCCTCGCTGACACTCACTCTCAGGACCTCGTCTTGAACAGAAACACACCCCCCCTGACACCATGAGCTACTATGGCAGCTACTACGGAGGCCGCGGCTATGGCTGGGGCGGCTTCGGCGGCCTGGGCTGTGGCTATGGCTCCGGCTGGGGCTGGGGCGGCCTTGGGGGCCTGGGCTGTGGCTATGGCTACAGAGGCTATGGCTGTGGCTGCTGGCGCCCGTCCTGCTGGGGGGGATACGGATACTCTGGCTTCTACTGAAATCCTGCCCAGCAGCTCAGCCTCTGAACTTACAAGGGACTTCCTTCCACGTTTGACCTAAGGAACTGGACAGCAAACCTCATGCTGGGTTATTCACTCTAAAGTCTTTAGCTCCTCAGGATTATGGGTAGATTTTCAACTGTGCCTGCGTCTCCCTCATAAGCCCAGGATCCTCTACGTTTGCTGTCAGAATTGATTGGACTATCTGTTCACCTTCCAATAAAGCATTGAATTTGAAAATAAAGTATGGTTGTTGGTTTGTTCATGAATGCAATTATGAGGAAGTGGTTCAGGACACATCTACTCCACTGTCCAAGGGGAAGCGACCTTCTTGGCTAACATTCTTTCTTTTCTTTCACACACTGCACAAGCATGCAGAGAGGCAGGAAATAGATATGAAGATTAATAACTCTACACCAAAATGAAAAAAAAAGTTGTGAAAGGTCCAGTGATTTAAATATTTCAATCTCTTGATTTTATTCATAAAATATTCAGACTTGTGAACTGCAAATAGCAATGAGTATTTAACATACCTATCTCTTTATTTATCAACATATAGATTTTACTTAAGTCAACTCACATTTCCCAATTCAATCATTGCATTCATTCAAAACTAGTTTAAGTTTTTAATTTTTCTTTAATTTCAGAGATGAGGAGGAGGGAGAGAGATAGAATCCTGAAGGATGAGAGAGAATCATTCACTGATTGGTTGCCTCCTGCATGTCCCCCTCTGGTGATTGAGCCTGCAACCTGGGCATGTGCCCTTGGCCGGATAAGAACTCAGGACCCTTCAGTCCACAGGCTTACACTCTATCCACTGAGTCAAACCAGCGAGGGCAGCTCAAAACATTCTTAACTCAATGTTTCTGTTCCCTTTCCTTTGCTCTCACTGTGTCTCACTGGCATCCATCTTCACCACCATCAGCACGCTGAGGAATTAGCTTCAATCCAATCAGGAAAAGAAACAACAAGACATAATGTGAACCAATTATTATTTAGCTGAACCTGAAACCAAAGAGCTTTCTTAAAAATTTAAATTTCAGGAAAATCTGAATTTCTCCTGATAGAAAAGGGCAACACGGGGCATAAATTTTTCATGAAATAAGAAAACGAATCGACCGAAATACCAATGTTTTCACAGAATCAAATAATATCATCAGAGAATAATATAAGATGGAGATATTTTGTTTAATTCACGTAATTTGGTCAAATATGTGTGCTTAAGTCTATACTGTTAGATACTCCCTACAGCTGTGCAGTCAGAATTTAATCTTTCAGTCACTCAGCAAATATGTTTTGTTTGAAAAACAGTGAATACATTTAGATGGGAGGGAAATGTATTATCAAAAATGTTACTTATGCCCGGCTTGTGTGGCTCAGTGGTTGAGCATTGACCTATGAACCAGGAGGTCAGGGTTTGATTTCCGGTCAGAGCACACGCCTGGGTTGCAGGATGCATCCCCAGTGTGGGACCTGCAGGAGGCTGCTGATGAATGATTCCTTCTCATCATTGATGTTTCTATCTCTTTTTTCCTCTCCCTTCCTCTTTGTATTAAAAAAAAAGAAAAAAGAAAGAGGGAAAAAAAAGAAAATATATGTTTCTTACTGTGGGGTCCTGTCTAGAGCACACCGATGTTCAAGGCCACTCTGAGTGTGGGAATCCTAATCATAGTGTTCAAGGTTGAGTTGCTATATTCAGGCACAAGGCAAGGACACAGCAAGCCATACACTGCAACCACATGCCTTTCTGTAGCCAAAATACTGATGTTACTATTTGGCAAAAAGCCTCTCATCTTTGATCATGTTTGGGCATGTATGTAAGGTGCCACTGACCACCTGCTGTGGTTGCTGTGGCTGCTGTTGTGTGTAATAAAGCAGGTCCCATTTGCCTGCTGGTACTGGCGTGTCCTTCTGAGTCCCCTCACCAAGAAGGGCCAAGTCCCTGGCTAAGGAGCTTGCTTCTGACACATATAAACCTCAAAACAGAACAAAAACCCCAGCACCACCTACAAAACACAGCCCTGGCACATGATAAAGTCTGTGACGCTCACACAATGGTAAAGACCAAGCCCCAGGTGTGGACACACTCCAGTAGGGCTTCACCTTGAACCCTGGGCTCACACTCAGGTTTCCTTATGAGCTGAGGAAATTCCCTGAAGGCTGGCAGCTAACCTCTAT